AGAGGGGGATTACATCCGGTAGATAGGTGATTCGGAGATAGACTAGCTAGGTCCAAGCCTTTTCGATGTTGGGAGGATTCGCTAGGGAGAGAGGGCTTGGAGAAGCTATGGCTCCTGGTAGACTTAGGGTAGGGATAGATCAAATCACACATCAGATATGGTTGCGGTGTCTCAAATCCCATAACGAATGGAAGATGCCCCTGTTTTTATGATTCATAAGTAAGATGGCTCCCATATAGTGACCATTTAATATGGTCATTTGAGCATTCCTTTTGAGGGCTCTCAATTCACGTAAAACGGGCCTTGTGGTTACAAACTTTTTTTGTTTGCCTGGTAGGCGAGGAGTTCTACTAATGAAAAACAAGCAGAAGATTTGCAATGTACATGTGGTTTATCACCAACTACGTGAAAATCTCAAGCCTATTGGTAACCTCTTCACATTGAGAATCTCAAGCCTATTGGTAACCTGTAAACCACCGAACCTGTACAAAACATCCTGCTTAACTTTCTAAAGATATAGCCACTACTTACAGAAAAATATTCCTCATGAATCCTCTTTTTCTTTCTAACCAAATTTTTTTAGATAGAACATTGCAAAACCAGGGATCGCAAACATCCCAATGCAACAGCAATCGAGTCGAACGAATGTCGGATGAGCCCAAAACCATACCTAGAGGTCACAGAATCGAAGGGAACTTTTTAGACCTCTAAGTTATGGTAGATGATGATTTTTGAAAATGAACCAAAATGACGCTCGGTTTATAGACTCGAGCCCTAGGCCCCAATGTGGTTTGAAATCTAAGATCGCACGCAATTTCATCTAACAATGAATGACCTCAACGTGAGCATTTTGACGGCGCAAAATCACGTAAATTGGACATGGGAGGAGGAGATACGGGTTCAGAAAGAGCGAGGCTCAAGACAAGGCGGACTCGCCTCATCTTGAGGCAGCCCAATTTACCTATGAGAACCTTTTCTGCCTTTCATTTTGAGAACGGTGAGTCTCTTCCTTACCCTTTTACTCTTAAAATTCTTCCAAACTTAATTTTCTTCTCACATTTCCCTTGTTTTCATGCGTTTTTATGGCGTTGTGAGTATCGAAGCTCTCGCACTTCCATGGGAAGTTTCGACTCCCTTTTTCAGGTTCATATGATAACTTGTTCCGAATCGGTCGTTATATTGAACTGAAAATCAAAAGCCTAACTATGTCATCATGCTGCCCGTTTGAATAGTCAAAAAACTTATGGACCATAAGAATATAAGTGAAGAGACGAAAGCTTCGGATAGGCGGGACCATTCCTAAACTTATTGCATTTGTACCAATTCAATCCTAAACTTCAATTTTATTGTTGTTTTCCATTTTAGCAATGAAATTAAAGTTTCAAGAGTCAATTCTCTCTGCAGTCTATATTAATATTCTTCATTTCATTTCTTTTCCTTTTTCACATGCTTTTGTACACGAGCTAACAAACTCGACCATTTCGGCCAAAAAAAAACAAGCTCGAGTATTGACGACTTGCAAATAAAGGGATCTATCATTTCTCAAATCACATAAGTTTCACCTACATGTAGTTTGAAATAACAATTGTAATAAATAATCCTAGAGATACTAAGCTTGGTATAGTAACAAAGTGTCGGGTTCATGTTGGGTGCTTAAATAGGCTAACTGACTTGAGTAATCACTTATAGTCTACTTCATCATTTTGTAAACAAATTCAGTATACATGTCCTAAATCACTTCCGAATTAAACATTTTTCTCCTCTATATAGTTAAAAATAACAATTACAATATATTGTAGTTAAATATATTAAGATCGGTATACTAAATTGATTTACAAAATGAAGTGTCAGTTTCATGTTGGGTGCTTGAATGGGCCAACCAACTTGAATAATCACTTGTTTATAAACTAATTTAGTATAACACTCCTAACAAAAAAAACAAGGGATCTGTTGAAGCAAACGCGGAAAAGCAAACACAGAACACGAGGATTTACGTGGTTCGATCACAACGTGATCTACGTCCACGGGCGAGGCAAGACAAAATTCCACTATAATCAAAGAGAGTACAGTTTTCAGAAGTCGAAACGACGACAAAAGCTCACGGCTCACAAAACTCTCCGAAAACAAAATTCTCTCTGTATATCAATGAGAAAACCTAGCTGCGGTATAAATAGTGCTCCCAAAAAAATTTCCTCGGGGCTACGCCCGAACCCCGAAACATTGATTCGTTGCTCCAGCTCGGGCGGACCGCCATAGATATTTGTTCACTTGCTACGAGTTGGGCCTATCGGCCCAACTCTCCGCGTCACGAACTAAATCTCAATTTTCGGGTCGCACAAAAATATGTCGGGTCGGGTGTTGAACCGGACCGAGAACATAAAATTCAAGACATATTTAACAGGATCTATCACTCTAATTAAACATGTTGCTCCTAGAGTTTTAAATAACAATTACAATTATGGTGGAGATACTAAGATTGGCATACTAAATTGATTTATAAAGTGAAGTGTCGGATTCATTCTGGGTGCTTAAATGGGCTGACTAACTTGAATAATCACTTGCAGTTTGCCACGTCACTTTGTAAACTAATTGTAGTATGTCAGTTCTGACAAAAAAAAAAAAAGGATCTATCCCTTTTCCATTTATATATGTTTCTTTTATAATCCGAAATAACAATTACAGTTATGCGAGAGATACTAAGATCAATATACTGGATTGGTTTACCCAGTGAAGTGTCAGATTCGTGCTGGGTGCTTAAATGGGCCAATTAACTTGAATGATCACTTTCAGTTGCTCACATCACTTCGTAAACCAATTTAGTGTACCGACCCTAATATCTCTAGCATTACTTTAATTAGAACATCTTTTAAGCACGTTACTCATCTCTATTCTTTCAACTGATATTTTGGACATTAACATGGATAAAAAGAAAATTGTAAGAAAATAGTCCAAAAAGTCCTAAACCTATTGCACTTTTGTCAATTCAATCATAAACCTTTCAAATTTGCCAATTGAGTCATAAACCTTTTCACTTCTTGCCAATTGAGTCCATCCGGCCAATTTTGGCCACCCGGAGCTGACGTGGACGCCAGCCGGCACCGGCCGTCCAGCCACTGCTGATGTAGTAATTTTTTAATATTTTTTTCGAATTTTGTAATATATTTTTATTTTTTTCCTTTTTCTTTTTTTTTTGTAGCCTTCTTCCCTCTGGCCGGCCCGGCAACCGGCCAGAGGCTAGCGAGGGCCGACGAGGTTGACCTCGCCAGCCTCTAGCGAGGCTCGCCCTCGCCGGCCCTTGGCTGGACTAGGTCGAACATCGCCCAGTAAAGGTGAGGCCGACCTCGTCGTCCTGACCCAGCCGACAATGACGGCGAGGCTCGACCTCGCCCAGATTTGGCGAGGCCGACCTCGCCGTTGCCGTTGCCTGGGTCGGAACGGCGAGGTCGGTCTTGCCTTTGCTGGGCGAGGTTGGGCGAGGTTGGGCGAGGTTTGACCTCACCCAACCAGGGGCTGGCGAGGCTCGCCCTCGCCAGTGGCCGACAGGGGTGAGCTTCGCCAGAGGCCAGTGAGGTCAACCTCGTCGGCCTCTGGCCGATTGCCAGACCGGCCAAAGGGAAGAAGGCCAGAAAAAATATATATATTAAAAAATTCAAAAAAAAAATTTAAAAATTGCCACGTCAGCGTTGGCTGGCATCCACGTCAGCTCCGAGGGGCCAAAATTGGCCAGATGGACTCAATTGGCAAGAAGTGAAAAGGTTTAGGACTCAATTGGCAAAAGTGCAATAGGTTTAGGACTTTTTAGACAATTTTCCCGAAAATTGTGCATCCTCTTAAATAGCCCAAGTCATCAATGATCCTGATGTGTTCAATCCACTTGAAAACATTATGCAACTTTGGAGATTCTATCGTTATGTGACTTAACCATATAACCAAATATATTAACCGTTTGATCAAGTCCACTGCATCATTTTCTTTCATTTCATTCCATACTAAAAATGGTAACTTAAAAACAGTTTTAACGGTATTGAAGGAATTTCTTATCCAATTTACTGTGATAGTCTTATGTTGAGAAATTATTACGTAAACCGAATGTTCTTTTGTTGACAACAAAATGCATCGTAGTGAATTCGGCAACCGACATTTGCTTTTCATGTCTTTGTTTCTGGAGTCACCACCGGTCGGGAATAGATTTTGGTGGTGGTGGTGGTGGTGTGAATCAAAACGTTGTGCAGCTCAAATTGGTCGAATCCTAGGTTAAAGTTAGTGGCTCTATTATCAGAGAAAAAGATTGTGTGTGGAATCTATAGTCTCTACATTATCGTCGCATAAACGTTTCGATTTAGATCCAACGCATACGATTAGGAAAAACTTGAATGAATGTTGATTCAATCAAAAAATAAAATTGTGAACTCAACACGCACTCCATACGATTGATGGGAGAATATTTACTCTGTTATCACAAAGGGATGACAAACCTTTTGATTCGATGAGCAAATTAGGATCTTGTGAATTCTTAATCACTCTTTGAAACTTGGGATGAAATGTCATCATTTCAAAATGTTCAAATTAATTCAAATTCTTAAGACGATTCAAACTCGATCGAGAAAAAGATGTTGAATAAGATTATTTGCTTCAACATTAACCCCACTCCCCATCAGTAGATTATAAAGATGACCAAAACAAATATATGGAACGTTCCACTAAGAAAGCGTGATCAATGTCACCTTCTAATCTAACTTTTAGCCATTTTGTCTAGCTTTTCAATTACAGAAACATTTGCTTGGGACATGAAATCTTGCTTCACCTTTTCTATAAAGTATTATAAGCTCCAATTCAAGTTTACCAGAATCCATTCTGGAAAACAAGATAAAGTTCCACTTATTTGTGTCTGCTCTCGTCATATTAGAGTTGGTTTCTCTATATATAAACGAACCAGAGCAAATCTGTGTATTAGTAAGGCCCTCACTTTCTTCTCACTTACTTTTGACCTGGGAAAAGCCATGGACGTTCTTCGTTTCTTGAGCGGTGTTCTCGGTACTGTATTTTGCATTCCGATTTTCTGCATTTCTTCTTTCATTCCAGCCTGTCCCTCAGTCGCCGTTTCGCTTGTTCTTGGCTTTAATGCCATAAATTTGCCTTGTTTTCAACGTAGGAAATGCTGTCGGTCTGCTATTTTTCTTGGCGCCTATGCAAGTCAAAGTGTATCGGTTTGCAAACTTAGTATCCAGTCTTTGTCGCTAAAACTTGGGAAGTTGCATAACTATTCTAGGACCACGCTCAAGAGGATAGTAAGAAGCCAGTCGACCGAGCAGTTCTCAGGCGTCCCCTGCATGATAACTCTTCTCAGTTGCAGCCTCTACACTTGGTAAGTTCTAAAAGATTCATAACGATTAGTACAATGTTACTAAGGCACTAATCATCTTGTTTTCTATCGAATTAACCAAACTCATGCGTCTCTCTCTTTACTTATACATGGCTAAATGATTTTGCAGGTATGGACTACCGTTTGTGTCGCCGGACAACCTTCTGATATTGATCAGGAACAGCATGGGAGTTGAGATCGAGCTCACGTATGTTTTGATCTTCATCACATACGCACCAAAGGAGAGGGCAAAGATCGTGGGACTCTCTGGTCTTGCTCTGATTCTTTTCTTAACATTTGCCCTTGTCTCCCTCTTCGCCCTGCACGGCAAGACCCAGAAACTCTTCTGCGGCATCATGATCGACATTTCCTCTACTATCATGTATGCTTCACCTCTATTGGTCATGGTAAGATCCATTACATTGTTAAGACATAAAATATATTCCGCGTTGTACTCTTAACAGTTTAAGATTTTTGAGTAAACGATTACACAATCAATTTAGATTCAGAATATAGTACATCTTACAATATGTCAATCATCAAAATGACTCGTTGGCTAGTATCAGAAGTTCAAATCGTATTTGGATTATGCACTTGGTTTCATCAGTTTAATTCGGTTCATACAGATGTTGGTGATCAAGACGAAGAGCGTGGAGTTCATGCCATTTTTGTTATCGTTGTCCTGCTTCTTATTGGGCATTTTCTGGCTCGCATATAGCCTTCTTAGTCGGGACCCCTTTCTCATCGTAAGCCATCACCTTATATGATAATTGAGGGTGTGTTGGCGCACGTGTGGAGTCGATATTCAGGAGATCCTAACTGATAACTTAGTTTTATTGGACTTGACAGTTGACAAAAATCTAATGATGGTGTTGCAGGTGCCTAATGGACTGGGGACTGCACTTGGGATTGTCCAACTGATCTTGTATGCAATGTACCGCAAGAACTGCAGTCATACTAAACACGAGACTAGGGATGAAATTGCGGCGATGGATCTTGAAAAGACCGATCGAACGATCAAACTGGGTTGCCAACATTTCCAGTTGGCATCTTGAAAAGACCTATCTAAAGACCGATGTAATTCGCTTGCATGTCAAGAAAGAGATGTATAGAAAACTTTTCCAGCTTTTATCATCAAAATTAGTGTCTTTATTTGAGGAAAAGTGTTTTTCTGGAATCCATTTTCCGGACTTTCACCTATTTAGTTCGCGAAAAATAATTAGTCAACCGAAAATACTTTCCGGTCAAGGAAAACATTCATGTACAAAATTAGGAAAGTGAATTCCCTAATATAAAAAGGTGAAAACACTTTTCGGAATTGCTCATCTTGAATTTGTTACTATTTTATTTTTTCTTTTCTTTCTTTTTCTTTTTCCTTCTTCCTCCCTCCCCCAGTAGCCGACCTCGGCAATAGGCCACAAGCACGGGTTGGTGAAGCAAATGTATTTTGAAATCATTTTCCAAATAAGATCTAAACACCAAAAAACTTTTTGATCACATATTATCAAACAAAAGAAAACTAACCATTTTCCTAAAAAATGATTTTCCGGAAAATATTTTCTGGAAATGTTACGTTTTCCATAATCAGGTTATTACTTTGAAGGTCATTTTTCTTTAACTTGCCTCTTCTATTTTTTAGGGTTTGACTTTCACGCTGCAGAGGTCACCTTCCTTACTCTCTCAATGAGAGATTCTCCCTTCGGTACTGCATCAATTGTGAGCCATCTCGAGTGTGGCATGAGTTGTGAGAGGCATTCATAAGTCAACACACACCTCCAAATGATCACCATCTTGCGTAATTATTCAAAAGACTCCTCTACTCACATAGGATGGGGTCATTACACTCTCCCTCCCTCCTTTGCAACCTCTGCCCAACCCTCAACCCCCGCTACTGCCATAGTTACTCAGGCCACAGCTCCCAGCAACAACTTCAGCAAGCCACTTCCCTCACCTCTCTCTCTCTCTCTCTCTCTCTCTCTCTCTCTCAAGCTCTCAAGCTTGATGGTGGTGACGAGTGTTGGGAAAACGTTCTCATAGATTTAAAGATGACAAAACTATCCATGTGTGTTTTATAAGTCTGATAAATGCCTTAAAATATTTTGATCCGTGAAGTTATTTTTTAAAGAAAAGCATATGTCAATATTGATCTTGTTCGTGTTCAAATTGTGAAATTACTTCAAGCAGAAGAGGTTTAGACTTTATATTGCAGATGAAGAACTTCAGACTTTATACCAGAAGTTCAGAATGTGACATAAGATCAGTATGTAAATAACAGCTAGTGATCTGGTTCGGATTTCACACTTAGAATAAATTGATTCACTCAATCCTGAAGATTGTTTTGCAACGGTTTAATATGCAAAACATCGTAATTGATTAGCAATCAATCTTGAGGCAAGTTATTTTCTAAACGGAGAAGCTCTACTTATGGAAACCAAGAATTTGGTTGTATGGGCGACCAGATTCATCGGAGATTCAGATTTTGTTCCTCAACGGCTACTCAATCTTCTTGATACAGTTTTGTCCAACGGATAGATTGGAAAACAATCCTCTTGAGAGTATCCAATGGCTAGATTAGAAGTAGAAGAGTATAAAAAAAAACCAAGTTGCCAAGGAGCAGAAGCAAGAGACGAGGTCCAGAGTCTAGAATTCCAAAGTCTGAGCAATCTTCTATCTATATACTTGTCTTTTGTGAGCTATAAAGTGTAATATTTGAGAGAAACTGAAAAGAGTGATTAAGTGAGATAGTGAGACTTATCATATATCGATAATTATCACTCACAGTTGTAATCTCTTAATTGATCATCTAGTGGAATCCAGCCGGTGAGCTATTAATATGGGAGAGTGGATGTAGGCTTGATCTAAGCCGAACCACTATACGTCTTGTGTGCAGTTTTTCTCATCCTTAAAGCTCCTTTCATTTATTACATTGCACACTTACACAATTGCTATCAAAGACTGTTTAAAATCTAAACATTGTTCAGACTTTGTTCTTGATCTTTTACTTCCACTTTAAATTGGTCAATAATTGTTTAAAATCACATATTCACCCCCTCTAAGTGATCTTTGCTTGTCACCTCAACGAGCTCCTCAATCAATACTCACTGTAGAGAAGCTCGATGGCCAAGGTAGAGCCTTGCTATTGTGTTGAGTGAGAAAGAGAGAGAGGGAGGAGGTCGACATGGAATTTTTCAACACTTTCCACCAGCTAGATCTTGGCGAGGTCTCAACGATCTCATCCTATCCAACCATCATCTTCACGATCTAACCTAGATCTCATCGGAGACTACTGGATCTGGAGAAGGTTCCTCCTTCAGAGCTTGTTGTAAGAGTTTTTCTATTGTGGTTAATTGATATTGTAATTTACTATTTTACGGGATTGGTCTAATAAAGTAAGATATAAAGATTCTTTATTAGTTTAATATAGGACTGGCTAGTGTAAGCCGAGTAAGGCCCGACCTGTGATGAAAGGGTTTGGCTTAAAACTTTATAAATAGTGCTCAAGTCCCTCCTCTAACCCTAATGCATAAGTTATCTCATAAAAAGAGCAAATGCTATCTTTGACAGACAGTCTCATTGAGCCAGTAATACATAGGGTAATAGAAGAGAAGAACTTGCGCTAAGGATCATCTATATTCCGCATCAAGAATGATGAATCCCAAAACAGGTAAGCGAATCTCTTTTACTTGATTATTGTGTTATAAATTCTAGCTATGGAGATCTTGGGTGTTGGCTTTTCGCAGCTAACACTTGTGACAAGCATGGTTAGAAAGAGCTCACACGAGGCATCCGTCAAGCTCTAGCAATCCATTATGAAATAGGCGAGATAGCTACAAAAGAGAGTATTAGGACTAATTCGATCATTTTATTTGCACATGTTAGATCAGTCGCTGAAATCAAATTTTCAGCTATCAGGAAAATGAGCATAAAAAAATGCATGTACAATATTTCCTAACAAAAAACATCAGATTGTAAGAGAAGATCAATTTCGTTTTCTGTAATCCCGATAAGTCTTGTATTGCATGCACGACGTATGTTTCTAAATGACATGATCGAAAATGAACAAAGAAAGTCTCTCAAATTTACAGCCTTCACTGCGTTTTCCTCGGTTGGACATCAAGATTCAAGGCAAAAATGGAAAAGAGACTCACAAAACAAAGAGAAGAGTTTGAATGTTTTGTAGATTTCCTCTTTCCTGATGATCAATCGAATAACAAGCTTGATCTGTCTATTTTCAGCCCCAATTGGCAGTTAGTGCTAAGAAAGGAATTCATATATTCAGAGAAGTGCTTGAAGAATTAGAAGTGCAATACTGGAATTCGGAATCCGGTACCAAACCATTAGCACTGAGAACTGATTCAATCTTTCGGCCATTTGGGAGGGTTGCTGTTCAGATTGAACCCACAAAGCACAATACGTCTGGAGAACATCGAACGATCCGAGTTGAATCGACAAAAGTTGTCCTAAATCAATCCTATACTGCTTTTCAATTTGTTACAGTGAAAATGATGTTGTAACATATGTAGTTTCTGTTACTGTCATTCCACTGTTTGATCTGTGTGATCTACAGGTATACTAGCTTAGACATGAGTGGGGATTATTAGAAAGCAATTAAGTAATATATAATATTTTTTTTGTGATGATGCATATTTTTTTTTATTGATCTATTAATATTGTTTATTTGTGATGCAGGCCAGATTGATAATGCTGCCCGCATCGAAGACGAGCTCACTCGACCAAGGAGATCAGCCCGCATCCGAGCTCGACAAGACGCTTGACCAGTCGAGGAGATATCGAAGGGACGCAATTCGAAGACCAAGAGTCTCATCCGCAATAAAGTCCTTGTCTTTCCCTATACATTGGAAGCCTAAAAGATACTTTGGGATGATCAAGAAGACGTTGGGCATTTATCTAGTTTATAGTTTCTAAGTTCTTTAATGTTTTATGCTTTCTAGGGTCTTTAATGCTCTTTAGTCTCTTCGTTTGCTTGAGTCTTTTCATTTGTTTTTCTTTGGCTATAAAAGACCATCTACTTTATGTATTCGACAGACAAATTTGATTAATGAAAATTTTGCATCAAGCAATTATCTTGAACCTTGAAGAGTTCATACCCCTGAAAACCTAGAAGAGTTTTCACTCCGTCCTTGAAGAGTCGGAGGTTTTCAAATCTGCATCCTTGAAGAGTTGCAGTCATCGATCTAGAAGAATCGGTGCCCTATCCACTTCCTTGGAGGCCTAGAAGAGCAACCAACGAAGTTCTATCTTTTCCTCTATTCTGTCCATTTACATCTGTCCACTTCCACCCCGATTTCGTCCTTCCTATAGTGCTTATTTGAGAAAACTCAAAACAGAGAAATTGTCAATCCAGAAGTCTTTGTTCATTTGGCTTTGGAATCGGGTCATTCCGATCTGTATCGACGAAGTTACATCCATTTTCCCGAGCTTGCGCAGGACTGTAATTACTGTTCGTCCTGTTCCACGTGTGCAAGTCACTCTCCCGATCCTAACGTTCGAGTAGCCTACACTAGGCTGCATCATTTGGTATCAGAGCTTTGGAGGAGAGAACCATGCCACCAAGACAAGCTAGACGTCGTGGAGGCAGAACCATCCCACTGAATGAAGTGCATACGCTCGCTGACAATTTGCAGCAACATATGCAACAACAAATTGATGAATTGACGTGGGAAGTTGAGCGTCTGAGGGCGGAAAGAAACAATTCACCACCTCGTTCCAGGACCGAAGATTCCAATGGTGACTCTTCATCTTCGGAGAATGTTCGACCATTTCGTAATCGGAGGAATGTTCGACGTCACGAGCAAAACATTCGTGAATCGGAGTGGGAAAAAGAAGTTAAAAAGAATATCCCGAAATTTTCAGGTAATGATTCTCCTTGTTGACACCTATTTTTAATTTGCCCAAAATTAATTGCAAAATTTAGGAGTTAATTTCTTTAATTCCTAAAACAAAAAAATATTTCTATTTAAATGCATTGCATATAGACATTAGGCATATGTGCATTAATAAGGCCTATTAGAGCATATTTTCTTAAAATTTTAAAAAAAAAAAAAAAAATTCAAATCGATTCGGGCCGGGTTGGGGGCCGACCCGGCCCTTTCTTCCTTTTTCTTTTTCTCTTTCCTCTGCGCGGGCCCATTCGTTT